ATCAGTTATATAACCTTTTGTCCATGTTGCAATATAAATTGAACTAAATCCACCTTCAGTTAATTTTGTAATATCTTCAAATTGCTCAAAAGGTATCCATTCTAAAATATAGTTTGGTAGAGATGATTTAATTTGACATTGTTGAATAAAATCATTAATTATAGTATTTCCAGATGTCCAAGTGGTGAAAAGGCTCTGTAATTGTAAACTAATGCAACTTTCACAGAATCTATCAGAGTATCTTGTTGCTTTACACTTGTTACATTCTTTTGGTTTGCCTTTTTTCCTTCTTGCATTCTCTAATTCAAAGTCATAAATAAATCTTTCTTTACAAAATTCTTTTTCATTTTTAGAAAGCTCCTTGTTTTTTTTGACCAATGAAAAAAAATAATTTTTTCTATTTTTTCTATCAGAATTAATATTAGCATTAATACGCATTTCTTTATTAAATTTAAATACAAATCCCACTCTTTCTGGCGATATTAATGATAATAATGACATTTTTATTTTTAAAAAAAAATTATTTTAGCGTGTAACAAAAAGGTTGTTGAAGATATTAAAAATCGATTCATCAATCTTTTCCATTTATATTAAAAATCCGCCATAGTAATCAACTGACTTTTAAAACTCATTTATTGGGATTCTATGGAGTTCGAAGGTCGAAAACTATCACTTTCATAGTGCGTGAATTTGAAATCTGAAACTCTCGCGCATGAAATTCAAATTGGCCAATCAGAACTTTGTATCCAAATTTTTTTTTTTATTAAACGTTTTATTTTTTTATTTTTTTTTTAAACGTTTTAAGTTTGGATGGAAAGTCTGTTCATTTTGTTATAAAAAAACTTACCAAAGAAATACAAATAAGGAAATATCTTGCATAAAAAACATCAACCATTCTTATATATATGTATTATTATTGCTGTATTAGCTTTAGTTTTACAAATATATTCATAATTGGATAGAATTAAGTGGTTATTAAGCATAACGGAATTTCTCTGTGATTGGTCAATAATGATTGACAAATTTAATTGAGTTTATTGGCCAGAATTTATTTATTTAACTTAATATATATAAAATTCATTATTTCACCAGTAAATAGAATGTTAACATTTCTGTTGTGTTAATAAACACATTTGCATGCTGTTTCACAATTTTTGCATGTTTTGTGTGTTGTTTTCTTGCATGCTTATAACATGTTTTGCACATTGTTTTATGATCCTTGCATGTTAATAACATATTTTGCATGATAAATAACATTTTTTGCACATTGTTTTACAATTCTTGCATGCTAATAACATGTTTGTAATAACATTCTTAGATGTATATAAACAAATTGAAAATTAACTTTTTCTTAAATAAAGATAACAATTGGTGACAAGATTTACATATATAAGTTCAAAAATTATTAATTTTAACATTAATATGCCTAATAAAATCCATGGTCCTTGTTCTGTCCAAAATTGCCAATCAAGTCAATCTAGATACCGTACATTTACAAAATGTGCCTATGATAAGGCAGTAAAAAAAGGATCCTATCCTATATATAATTACTTGGAAATTGGTCAACCAATTTGCTATCCACATTGTTTAGCTATTGCAGAGCCTGACAGATATACCTGTTATAAAAATACAGAAATTCCACCATCTGATCTATCAGATGATAAATCAAAAGATATAAATAGTGGAGAAAACTATTGGTGCTGGTAAAATTTATTATTAAATGACACTTTAAAGTAGTTTCTTATCTCAAATTTATTAATCAAAAAATTATTTTCAGAGGTAAATAAGAATTTAGGACTTGTCAATAACTTGGAAATGTTAACAAAAGCATTACACAACCTACAAAGAAAGAAAGGCATTGATGTTGAATTGGACCCAATTAAGTTTCAAGATCTAATTGAGGAAGAGCAACCCCCACTGAAAGGTTTTTTTTAAAGAAATGTGTGATGCACTTATACCAAAAACCAGATCAGCATACAATCAGAATGAAGGAAAGACTGCAGTTGTGGCATTGTGCTATCAAATGGCTGGAATGAGAAATAAGTTTGTAAATGATTACAAACTATATATTGGATTGTATTTAGCAGCAAAAGGTACCTGTTGGGAGGCAATTGATACAATGGCAAGTGCTGGAATATCAGTATGTGCCAAGACTGTGGAGAATTACAGGAAAAAAATTGCAAAAAAGCATCCTATTAAATTAAGAGAGTATTTTTGTGAGCAGGTAAGTACATAATTAAACGATTTTAAAAAATATCATACTACTTACTAATTCAAAATATCTATAGAAAAATCATTATATGTATACAATCTGGATGATTTTCATTCAATAAAAGAAAAAAGAAGACCAGATACAACATCAACTTCCACAGCCAAGTACATGGCAATGTGTGTTTCTAGGCAAGTTACTAATTGTCCACCAATTCCAATTGAATTCAACAGAATATCCATTCATAATCCTGTTAATATAGATCCAAATAACTTGTGTTTATATTTAACTCGGGACTATCATGGTATTTTTGATATTCCATATAATCAAAGAAAGGATATGTGGACACAAAAATCTATATTGATGGATTTTGATGAAATAGAATGTCTAACTATTCATAGTTTTGATGATGCCATAAAAGAGAGAAAGGAAGAAAGATCAATGAATGGTGTCCAGCTCATTGGAATAGAAGACAATTGCATTCAATGCAGAGCTATTTGGAAAGATTAAAGATGATTACTTCAATTAATAAAGATGTTGGTCATTTGCAACATGTTGTAGCACCAGTAGTTGCTGATTGTCCTGGGCAACTCTTTATAAGAAAAGCATTGACATATTTGCATTCAAATGATCCATTACTCAGTCAATCTGTTCCAAAAGAAATTAATTGTTTTTTGCCAATTCTAGGTCCTCTGCATGTGTCTCTGAATAGTCGTGAACAAGTAATCAAGACCTATTATTTTTTTTTCGAAAAACTTTTTCATTTTGTCTTTGGAAGGAGGAAGATTTTAGCAAAGAAGCCAAAACCATGGTGTATAAACATCTTAGTTTAACTAAAAATCAAGAGATTTGTGTGAGACGCGAATTTTGGTCTCACAATAGCAATGATGGTGGTAATGGTGAAACTCCTCCAGGAATCAATCAACAGAGTTTTGACAGGTTACACATTAATTGTTTATTAGAGTTTTGGCAGAGTTTTGCATTTGGAGGTT